TGAGCATACTCCACTAAGTTCTGGAGGTAACACAAAGAGGTATGTCCCCTGTAATTGGGGAGATGAAACTTCTACTCACAAAAAAGATTAATCTCACTGAAAGACGGCATATGCTAATGCTCAATGAATTATAGAAAAGGTCCCTTTTCTCACAGGTGGCAAGAGAGAACATATAATCAAAAGGTAGGCATTAAGCATAGTCCTAAATTTCAGGGAGGATTCGCAAAAGAGCATTCCAAGTGAGTCACTCAGTGTGATTTTTTTCTTTTTTCTGAAAATAAAGCATAGCCTGATGCCCAGTTCACTTATGCTTACTTAAATGTTAAACAGAAATTCTTCTTCACTGGTGCAATCACATAGAAGTTATTCCTATTACTTAGTCTGATATGGTAAGCAGTTGAATATAAGGTGAGCTTTTCCTGGCCCCCATCCAACAGGGGTATTATTAGAGACACTTCACAAGGTTCACTGACGTACAACTCAGCATAGATTTCCCAAAGACTAATAAACAAGCCCAATTCCACTTAAGTTTTTTCATCTTGCAAGTTATTTGTGTTTATCAGTTCCAGAAATTCATCCCCAGGGACATTGGCCTTATGAGCAACCTTAAAATGTTGCAGGTAGACGGATTTCTAATGTTTTGTATGCTTTTTAAGAGAAACATTTTTAATGTACTATTAGGAAAGGAAAAGCAATGACTGTGTTAAGATTTATATTCATGAGAAATTATTTTAATAACTGTAAAATTCCAAGTAAGCTTTATGAGATGCTTTGTGTGGTTTATAACAGCCATCTTTGGCATACAAGTTTGTTTTTGTTTGCTTTTTTCTCATTCTTGTCAAGCACTTGAAAATGGTTTACATTTCCGAGGCTTTTTTTTTAATCTATTGTGTGCCATAAAAAAAGAAATTCATGGATGTTTCCCTTTTTGACTAATATTTGAGTCAATTTAATCTGAAAATAAGACAATCTTTTGTATTATTCATGTATTTGTAGCAATACTGTTGGTATATACATATTTTTTTCCTCTGGAAGAATATTGTAAGTAACTCAGTAACTGTGGGGCCCACTGACCCAAATTCTTTATAACATAAAATGCTTTTTAACTTTAGGGAAATTCATAAAATATTAATATTCAAAAGGAGTCCATTGAACATGAGATCTTGGTATGTCTGAGATATCTTTCGTGACTCCTTGCCTTTCATCCAATTACATCTTGGGCAATAGTGCCATCTGCTGTTCACAACTTAGAGTTACTGTTAGGGGAGGTAGGTCTATGTTTATATTCTACAAATACAGTAGACTAAAAATTTGCCTTTACAAATGAAAGGTTTATATTGGATATTCTCATCTTTACTTACCGTTTTTAAATTTGCATATAACTTGATAATGGTTTTAAATAAAGCTTTGTAAACTTTGTGAAATTCATTACAAATATAACTTGAACTCATAGGAGATGCTAATTTTTATAATGCAATGTCAACAATAACTAAAAAATATTTGGTTTTAATTTTTCATAACAAAAGGAACAAATATAGTCTGTGCAGTGAGTTAGTATTGATTCTTTTCATCTGTAGTAACTTGGCTTTCTGATTGCCTTATTTCTTATTTTACTGTGAATTATATATCCCTTCTGATATCTGACAAACAACATATGCAAGTTCTATATTTCCCAATTGTGTGCTTATTTAAGAAAATCACCAAGTGCTAATGGATGTCTTTTCATGATTATCATTTTCATTCTCTCAGTAACTTTATTACTTGTCTATTTTTTCCTTATGGCTGATGAATATAGAATACTGTAACATACATGATAACTAGTTTTAAGACACATTTTTCACAATATTACAATTGACACATGATTTTTAAATACCAGATTGGCATGTATAATTAAAGAAAATTATCAATTTTTTTCCTATGTCTGTTGTTTTCAGACACCACAGAACTAAACTACTAAAAGGCTGAAAATGTAAGTCTTCCATGAATCTCTCAAATTTTAATTTAAACATCGCTTTCTTACAACCAGTAAAATGAATCCCACATTGAAAGATAAAAGCTATGCCGGTTTATTTTCATATTAGAAGTCAGGCAAACTGGCTTTTTCCTATCTGCCCTGTCACTTTGTTATTCCTGTGGTGATCTTTAAAGAAGCACAGTGAAAATGTTCTGTTTTTCTCTAATCTTTCTTCTTCTTTCCTTTATAATTTCTCCAGTGCTGTTTGTTAAGCATACTAGCCCTTGCCCAGCTTCAGCAATAACACTTTTATTTGTATCAGGAGCTGGTTGTATGTTCACATTTAAAGCTACAAACACCACAAGCTTTAGACATCAAGTCTTGTTTGCGAGTTCACCTCTGACATTTAATACTAATGATGTGCTTTGCAAATCCAAATTGGAGGATATGTTAGAGAATACATTCCAAGGGATCCAATACTTGATATGTATGAGACATCATCATGAAGTCAGAAATAATGTCTCTTGGTTGGGAATTAGTGATTATGAAATAATCGTAGTGAAACTAATTAAGACCAAGAGGAGCAAATGTTTTCATATTGGCATTAAAGCTGGATCTCATGGAATGGTACCCACTGTGACTTTACCCTGCTGTATTAACATTACTACATATGTGTAATTGTGTTAATATTAAGAAATTAGCTGGACAAAGAATCTCTTGTTTCACATACTGAGTACATTGCATAATTAGAATTCGAAGTAGCTTTTGTTCTAAAGGCCTGTGGAACTATTTGCTCTTCAGTGGCGCTCTGTGTGCATGCTTGCATGTAAGCAAGACAGTGTATTCCACCCAAGATGTGAGTGTTGCCTGTGGTGGCTGCTACTTCCAAACATTCCACTCACAGTTTCTCACTTGAGAAAAGACTGGCTATATCTTCCAGAGACACATCTTCGAAAGAGCTCTTTTCCACAAATAAACCAAAGCGTGCATAAGACTAGGTAATTGTAATTTGTGATTAGCCAGAAGTTCAGACAAAGATTTTTCAGAAAACATTTCTATCTTAATTTATAAAGCCAACTTTCTTTTCATACTCTTTATATTTATCTCCATAGCAGCTTTTAACCTTTTCAGTTAGAGCTTCTGGGATGTAACAATTTGTTCAATGTAAATAATTCCACTTGTCAAAAGAGTTATTACTGTGTGTGTGCGCGTTCTGTTTTGTTTTGAAATATATAGCTTTCTTGTTTTCTTTTAAAGACTGATTTATTTATTTGAAAGGCAGAGTTACAGAGAGAGAGAGAGAGAGAGACAGAGAGGGACCTTCCATCCACTGATTCACTCTTCAAATTGCTGCAATGGCCAGGCCGGAACCAGGAGCCAGGAGCTTCCTCCAGTTCTACCACGTGGGTGTGGGGACCCAAGCACTTGGGCCATCCCCCACTGCTTTCCCAGGCACATTAGCAGGGAGCTGGATTGGAAATGAACCAGCCAGAGCTCAAACCGGTGCCCATGTGGGATGTCAGCACTGCAGATGGTGGCTTCACGTGCTGTGCCATAGCACCATTCCCTCATCCCCGGCAGTTTGTTTTTAGTTTTTTTTAGAGGTCCCATCCACTGGTTTGCTCCCCCAGATGCCTGAACCATCCATGGCTAGACCCAGGACAAAGCTGGGAGTCAAGAGCTTAATCTAGGTCTCCCACATGAGTGGCAGGAACCCAATCACTTGAGCCATCATTGGCTCCCTCCCAGGGTGTACATCAATAGGAAGCTGGAATCAGACATGGGGCCTAGACTCAAACTCAGGCACTAACTATGGGATGCAGGTGTTCCGGATGGCATCATAACTGCTGCACCAAATGCTTGCCTCTGCAGTTGTTTCTTAGCAAGTAAATCCAGTTTTTATCTGTGAAATCTAGATCCCAAAATTTTTAGTTGCCTTAGCTGTGTAATGGCTCCTAATTCAGCTATAGATTCATACCTGCTTAGAGCAGAAGTTTAAACAGCAAGGCTGTGAACCATAATGTTATTTTTTCCCACCCAGCTGGCATGTAAAAAAGAAATGCAGGGGGCCAGCACTGTGGTATAGCAGGTAAAGCCACCACCTGCTGTGCTGGCATCCCATTTGGGCACCAGTTTGAGTCCCGGCTGCTCCACTTCCAATCCAACTCTGCTGTGGCCTGGGAAAGCAGTGGAGGATGGCCCAAGTCCTTGGACCCCTGTATCCACATGGGAGATCTGGAAGAAACTCCTGGCACCTGCCTCCTGGCTCCTGGCTTCGGATCAGCACAGCTCTGGCCATTGCAGCCGTTTGGGGAGTGAACCCGCGGATGGAAGAACTCTCTCTCTCTCTCTCTCTGTTTCTCTCTCTCTCTCTGCCTTTCCTTCTCTCTGTGTGTAACCCTGACTTTCAAATAGATAAATAAATCTTTGAAAAAAAAAAAAAACTTAAAAGCCCTCCTACTATATTAGCATAGATTGCCTGGAATCAAGAGTTCCTACTCAGCAATGTTTTAGATTTTAGATGAGAGTCTTCCTAGGAATGTTATATTTGTGGATCTGGGGAGGGGCAAAGAATTTCTTTTTTAAAAAAAATTTATTTATTTATTTGAAAGAGTTACATGGAGAAGGAGAGGCAGAGAGAGAAAGAGAGTAGAGAGAGATCTTCCATCTGCTGGTTCACTCCCCAGTTGGCCGCAACAGCCAGAGCTGCGCCAATCTGAAACCAGGATCCTCTTCCAGGTCTTCCACACGGGTGCAGGAGCCCAAGGACTTAGGCTGTTTTCCACTGCTTTCCCAGGCCATAGCAGAGAGCTGGATCAGAAGTAGAGCAGCCAGGTCTCGAACCGGCACCCATATGGGATGCAAGCACTGCAGGCAGTGGCCTTACCTGCTGCACCACAGGAATTTCTTGTTATAGTACACTGTAATATCTTCATCATATTTCATAAGTAGTAAAATTTCCTCATAGAAAGAAAGAACATTGCTTAGATAGAGTGTTAACAAGCTTATACCAAAATACACTTACATTATACTCTTCTTTTTTTAGACCAAGCCACCCTGGTAGAACAAGTGAAAAGAGTAAAAGAAATTGAAGCTATTGAAAGTGATTCTTTTATTCAGCAGACATTCAGGTCAAGTAAAGAAGTCAAAAAGGTAAGTTTTCATCCAGGCATTATGAATCAGACTTTGGGTGCCAACTGAAGAGGTGCTTTATTAATGCATTTTTCTAAAAAGTGAGTGCTTCTTCTAGTAAATGAAGTAGGCTTAGAGACTGTCAGGTTTGTTATTGAAAGAGAGAGAGAGAATGAATCAGTGAGAATCAGCTCAAGCTTAACTTGCATAAAAATATACTGTAAAAATGTGTCTGATGCCATTTTTATTTTATAATTCATGGAGAAGACAAAAAGTAAGATGTCAACTTTATGGTTTTTTTTTTTTTTTTTTAGACAGAGTTAGACAGTGAGAGAGACAGAGAGAAAGGTCTTCCTTCTGTTAGTTCACCCCCAAAATGGCTGCTACAGCCGGAGCGCTGCGCCAACCCAAAGCCAGGAGCCAGGTGCTTTTCCTGGTCTCCCACGCGGGTGCAGGTGCCCAACCACTTGGGCCATCCTCCACTGCCTTCCCGGGCCACAGCAGAGAGCTGCCTGGAAGAAGAGCAACTGGGGCTAGAACCCGGTGCCCATATGGGATGCCGGCACTGCAGGCGGAGGATTAACCAAGTGAGCCATGGTGCCAGCCCAACTCTATGGTTCTATAACAAATAGTAAGCATTTCATGAACATATATAGTTTTCTTTTCAAATGTATACATCTATTTTTTAATTGACTTCTAGAGAAAAATTAGCAACTTATACAAGTAGTAATGTGTATCTTCAGTCTTTGCCAATTGGGTGTCACTCAACTCCACTAAGGAGGCTTTGATTGACATTTTATTTCTGTTGACTTTTCCTTAGTAAAACTGGTTTTAGGAATTTTCTTATGTTTCTCCAGTAGGAAAAGGCATTTTAAGGTAGAAACTTATTCTATAATAACATTCATGTAATAAAGATATGGTTATAGTTACCACTTGTTCTCAAATATTCTGTATCTATAAGTATATTCATGGCTGTATAACTGATGAATGTAATATTTATTAATTTTTCCTCTGATATCTGATATTTAAGTAGTTTTAAGTTTAGAAGTATAACATAAATGCTTGCAAATAATCATTACTATCTTCTTAAAATAAAATTTTCAAGTTGGAGTTCTTTGTTAAAAGTTGACATTGTTTATTTTAACACATATCCAAAGTCATCCACCAAAAGCACTGTACTGGTTCAAATCTCACCCAAAAGTGCAAAATGTCTGCCTCTCACACCATGGTTAACACAAGGTCCTATCAGCCAGTTTCATTTCTACTAACCTGATAGGTGAAAACAGACATATTGTGTTCATTAGCACTCTTGTTGTTACTAGTTATCTTTCAATGACCATACACTTTTTAAATAATTAATTCATGAGATAGAAATTGAGCATGTGTTATGTGCTAGGCACAGAACTCAGTAGCCTTGGATAATCCATAGTACCTGCTTTGTCAGTATGTTGATTGCATTTGAACTTTTGATAGTTTGCAATCACAATGCCTGAATAATGGAGCTGTGAAATTCATAATCATAAAAATACTTGCCCATTAGTTAATCTTGCTTGCATATTATAAGGCCACTTATACTTACAGAATTACTGGGATTTTTTTTTTAAGATTTATTTATTTACTTGAAAGTCAGAGTGAGAAGGAGAGGCAGAGAGAGAGAGAGTCTTCCATCCGCTGGTTCGCTCTCCAAAGTGGAGTCACCGGCTTCAGCCGTGAATGGCTTCACCAGCTGCAGCTGTGCCGATCCAAACCCAGGAGCCAGGAGCTTCTTCCGGGTCTCCCACATGGGTTCAGGGGCCCAAGGTCTTGGGCCATCTTCTACTGCTTTCCCAGACCATAGCAGAGAGCTGGATCTGAAGTAGAGCAGCTGGGACTCGAACTGGCACCCATATGGAATGCTGGCACTGCAGGTGGCAGCTTCACCCGCTACACCACAGCACCGGCCCCTGGGATTATTTTTGAAGGTTTATTTATTTATTTGAAAGGCAGAGAGACAGAGACAGAAGGAGAGACATGGCGGGGGCCAGGGGTGGGAGGGTGGGGAGTGGGGATGGGATCATTCATACACTGGTTCATTCTCAAAATGTCCCCAAGAACGGGGCTATTCCAGGCCGAACTCCAACCAATTTTCTTCATGGGTGGCAGAGACTCAAGTACTTCAGCCACCACCTGCTGCCTCCCATGAAAATTAGTAAAAAGCTAGAGCGGAAGGAGAATAGCCCAGACTCAAACCAACCAAACACTCCAATCTGGGTGCACACATCCCAAGCAGCAACTTAATCTGTGCGCCCACCTCTAAAATTTTTTTTTAATTTATTTTCCTACTATTTATTTTCTAAAATTCACCCTGATTTGTCAGTTCTCATTTGACTCTTTTATAATAAATTAGAATTTTCTTTCTGTAGAAATACTTATTCTTCCATGGTCATTATACTGAGTTTTCTTCTAAACAGTTTTTTCCTGTTTGATGCAATTGTTATTGTTTCTCATTAGATTTCTTTTTAATTCAGTCCCTCTCTTTCAAGAAAGTGTGCATTGAAAGGTAGGAAGTGGTGCCAACAGGAGAATGTGCTAAAAAGGCCTTAGGAAATAGCATTTACATTGGTGATTGCACAGTAAAGTCTTAGTCATCCAACATTAGACTTCTTTCTATTAGTCATAATACTTTAAAATAATCAGAACAGCAGTGATAGGCTAACAATGAGTAATTTCTCAGTCTATTGAAATATAAAATAGAAGGAAAATATATTAGTTTAGAAAGTGATATCCCTTGCTAGTTTCTAAAATATCTGTGTCTGCAATATAACACAGAGATTCAGGATGCCCAAGAAGCTGAATTATTTATGATGAGATTACTTAGCAAAGGGAGGTAAATTATCTTGAGGACTATTTCATCTAGGTCATGGGGAGATATGATAGGCTATCCCTGATGCATAGCAACAGTTAACTGTCTTGAGGACTGAATTACCCATGATCCTAGTTTTAACATCTTTCCTCTGGACAGTTCTATATGCTTTGGTATGAAGTTTGTACCTTTGAAAAAGCTCTTCTATGCCAGTCATCCCTTCAGTTGATACAGTCTTTCTTTACCTGTGTTAATTCCACTAATTAAGCTATGGAGCTATTACCAGAAAAGTGGCTATTATCAGTGACATGCTAGACACTATGTTTCCTGCAGCATGTATTGATTGAACTAGTTTAACTCTCTCAAACCATTTTTCTGTCTGAATATAGAATCTGATAGCTCCTGTTATATCATTAACTTTCAGATCCAAGATACAACTTGTTTTCAAACTGTTGTTACAGAGTAGTTTCTTAGCAGTTATTCGATCCTGTTATTGTTGCATCTGGCAGATGACTGCCTGCCTATGTTGGAAAGGCCTGGGGGCCTTTAGTTCTTTTACTTGGAAGCACATTGTAAAACTAATTTTTCCTAACAGAACCACCAGGTGGCAGTGATACTCAAAACCATGTTTGATTATGGCCATGTTGAGGCTTTGTTTTATAGTCAAAATAAACTTTTCTCTGACAGTTTTAATCACTTAAATAAAGAAGAAATCAATATTTCTCCCCTCATATTATTAGCATCCATTTTTAAGTAATAATTTCCATACTTAGATCCTAACCATTGAGAGCTTCACTTTATACAAGTATGTGCTTATGTACTTCTCAAAGAAAATGTTAAGGTATTATGTAGGTAAAACTAGATTGTGTCTTTGGCAATTGGAATGGTAACTCCACATCATTTCAAGGCAACTCAACATGGACTGCCAGCCTCCTGTCCGGGTCTTATCACAGCATGGCTGAGATACGCAAAATTATACACACATCTTGTCTCTGTAAGGCAACATACACCACCAAAGATTAATGTCCTGGGCCTCAATGAATTGGCATACTTCCCACTTTCCTTTTTGCAGAATGTTGAGCTTTACTAGTAAATGTTCTCAGCTTTATGAAGAATCAGTGTAACCTATCACTTAGGGCCATGAGCCTTCTCAAACCAGTGTGTTGTAAACTTACACATGCTTGAGACCTTGGCTTCAAAATATAAGAAGAAAGCTGTCAGATCAATCTAATACATATTTCTTTACATGCATATAAAAATTAATATTTTAATTTCCATGTGTTTCTAAATTTTGTGTTGTTCTTACTGTTGATTTCTAGTTTTATGCCTTTGTGGTCTGAGAAGATATAGAGTATGATTTCAACCTTTTTAAATTTACTGAGACTTTATTTGTGGCCTAATATGTGGCCTATGCTAGAGAATGTTCCATGTGCCAACGAGAAAAATATATATGCTCTTGGGTGAAATGTTCTGAAGACGTGTGTAAGGATCATTTCCTTAAAGTATGGTTCAACCCTGATTTATCTTGTTGATATTCTGTCTGGGTGATATGGCAATTGATGACAGTAGAGTGTTAAAGTCCCCACTATTATTGTACTTGAGTCTGTCTCTCCCTTTAGGTCTAATAATATTTGTTGTATATATCTGAGTGATCTTATGGTAGGGGCAGATATGTTTGTGATTGTTAGATCTTCTTTCTAAATCTATCCATTTATCAACATATAATATCCTCCTTAATTTCATTTTACCGTTTTTGATTTGAAGTCTGGTATGTCTGATATGAGTATAGCTACTGCCACCTGTTTCTGGCTTCCATTTACATGGTATATCTTTTTCCAGCCCTTTATTTTAAGTCTATGTGTGTCTTTATCTGTGAAGTAAATTTATTGTAGACAGCATATAGTTGGGTCTTATTTTTTACCCATTCAGCAAACTGTATCTTTTGACTGGGGAATTAAATCTATTTATATTCAAGGTTAATATTGATAGATAAGAAATAACTCCTGTCATTTGGTTGATTGTTCCTGCTCTGTTAGTGAATTTGGTACTGTCATGTGTTTTCATAATGTTTGCTTATAACACAAGACTCCCGTCAGGATTTCTTACAAGGCTAGTCTAGTGGTGATGAATTCTCCCAGGGGTTTTTGCTTTTTTTTTTTTTTTTTTAATATCTTACTTA